AATAAATCAGCTGCCAGAAACTCAAGCTGGATTCAGGCAAGAACATGGAATGAGGAAATATCATTGCTGATGTCAGATAGATCTTGGCTAAAAACAGAGAATACCAGAAAGATGCTCCAAGAATGTCAGGCCCAGACCTTGCCACTCACATTCCTGATCCCAAATGTCTCTCATTTGAAGAGAGGATCATTTTCCAGCCATGCTTATTCCTAGCCTGGATGCATCTGGCTCACATGTAATCTCTGTTGGAGTAAATTACAGCAACTGTCCTTCAAACACCTAAAGGAAATATTGGAGCAAGAAGAGTACCTGGACCCTCCTACATGGAGGCAGAGCAGGAGTGGAAGAGGTTTCATCAAGTCAAACAGGAGAGCAACGGACCTCTCTCCTTCTCCTTGGGCCACTGCACCCCAGAGGAAGACAGACCCCTGGGAGCTGATGCTCAACCATGTATGTGCGTGTTTTCTTAACATGCTACCTTCATTTCATCTCTCAGGATGAAGTTTAGGTGGCACCCTCTCTGGGAAGCCACGGTGTCTGGGTTTGGTCACTAAAGCACTGAGTAAACTTTCTAAACCAGTAAACCATGAGTTGTTATGTTGACCCCAACTCATGCCAACTCCCTGTGTGTTGGAGTAGAACTGTGCTCTGACGGGTTTTCAGTGGCTGAGTTTTCAGAAGTAGATTGGCAGGTCTTTCTTTAGAGGTAGATTCCAACCTACCGCTTTTTGGTTAACATCTAACTCTGTTAATCATTTCCACCACCCAGGGATCCCACCGCTAAATAGATTGTCCCAAAATGAACACCCCTGTGTAAACAGCACCTAAGTCAAGAAACAGAGCATCATCAGACCACTGTCCCACCAGTTACTGCCCAGGGTATCCCACCTCTACTCCATCAATTGTTGTTATTGTAAAGTGTCGTTGAGTCAGTTCTGACTAATAACGACCCTCTGTAAGGTTTCCTAGGAGTGGCTGGTGAGCTTGAACCACGAATCTTGTGCTTCAAACTGATTTTGCAGTTCAGCGCATTAATACACAGCACCATGCCCTATTTTTGTGCATTATGGAAATGCAATTATCCAATACATTCTCATTTGTGTCTGACTTTTCCCATATTATGTCCAGACTAATCCATGTCTTTTTTTGTAGATTACTGTAGCGTGTTCTGTTGTGTGAATGTACCACAACTTACCTATTTTATCTTTGGTGAGTATTTAGTAGTTTCCAGTATTTTGACTGTTAATGAGTAATAATGCTAAGAACAGTATAGTTTATGTCCTTTGGGAGGTATCTGTACACATCTCTGTCTGGTGTACACCTAGGAATGAAATTGCGGGTCTTGTAACAAGCATAGACTCAGCTTTTGTAATTGCAGCCACACTGTGCCAATTTACACTGTGTAGGAAAATTCTTGCAGCCCTGCTTCCTAGTCAACTCTCAGAGTCCTCTGGAAACCTCTGTATTTCATGTGTTAATGGAGTTCTGGTAGCATTGTTGTTGTTGTTGTTAAGTGCCATCGAGTCAATTCCGACCCATAGCAACCCTGTATAGGGTTTCCGAGGAGCAGCTGGTGAGCTTGAACTGCCAATCTTGCAGTTCAAACGGCTTTGCAGTCTGGCGCATTAACCCACAGCGCCACACCAGTAGTTATAAATTGGGCTGCGAACCTCAAGGTCAGCAGTTCGAAACTACCAGCTGTTCCGCAGGAGATAGGTGAGGCGTTCTGCTCCCATAAAGATTTACAGCCTCAGAAACCCTGTACAGGGTCACTATGAGTCGGACCTGACTCCATGGCACATAACCACCACCACCACTAGTCTGTCTCACCATTAGGGGCTCCACAAGGACTCAGGATGCTGTCTTAGTTGTCTTTGTATCTCCACTGGCCCAAGTACCTACCGCTCCCCTGGCAGCACAGTGATTAGAAGCACTTGACTGCTAACCAAAAGGTTGTGGTTCAAACTCACCAGCTGCCCTGTCGGAGAAAGACGACATTGTCTGCTTTTATAAAGATCTACAGCCTTGGAAACCATCTGGGGCAGTTCTACCCTGTCCTATAAGTCACTATGAGTCAGAATGGAACAGGCTTGGCCTAAGGAAGACACAAATGAGAAGGAGAGTGCTTGACTGGTTAAGGAGGAGAGGCAAAAGGAATTAGAAAGATGAAAACAAAGAAATTGATGTTAAGTCTATTGCAATTCATGGAAACTCCATGTGTTACAGAGAAGACCTGTTCTGTAGGGTTTTCTGGACTGTAACCTTACAGATGTGGATTGCCAGGCCTTTCTTCTGTGGTGCTGCTACTGGTTTGAACCACCAACCTTTCATTCAGTAGCAAAGGGCAGAAGGAGAAAGGAAGAGGGAGAGAAGTAGGAATGGCAGAAGGGGGGTGGGGAGAGAAGAGACAGAGAGGGAGTGTAAGAAAGAAAGGGAGAAAGAATAAAAGGAAAGGAAAGACAGTACCAACAAAGGAGTAAATAAACAACAAGCTGTCACTGGCTGCAAACACAGGAAAGGCCTGGGGGGGTGGGGGGACTACAGCTATGGCTTGCTGAGTCACAGCAAAACCTCATTGCGTCTCCTAACAATTTCCCTTCAGGGTAAAATCTTCTCAACAATCAGTTCTGAGTTTGGGGACCACGGGGAGAGAAGGGAGATGTAGCAGTGTAGGGCAGTCGGCACTGGGTAGGGATAGGCTCTCTGTAGGTACCTGACTTGGAGGCTGACTGGCAGAGGAGCCAACCTACCCCACCTCCACCCCACCCCTGCCCCACCCAGAGAAGCTGTCTCCATCTACTGGCTTGTTGACACCATCCTCACCTTCCCCCTTATCCAGCAGCAAGCAGGGGCAGAGCCTAGGGTCCATGACCAAGGCCAATACTAGGGCAGGGTCCATTAGACAAAGAGGGGCACTGCTGAGAAAGGCTTCCTAAGGATACCTGGAGGAGCAGGTGGGAGGGGGGCAAGTGGGAAGTGAGGGAAGGTTGCCCAGTGGGACTTCATATAGCCCTAGTCTCCTTGCTTGACATCATGGCCCCAAAGCCAGCCACCTCTCCACCCCCTAACACTCTAGCCCAGCCTCAGGTACCATCCAAAACCCAATGTGCCAGGGCAGGTGGGATCCAGGAGGAACTGTTACCTCTACTTTGCCAACCTCATGCCAACCTTGGCTTTTCTCCGTGCAGACTCAGCACTGGAAGAAGCACAGGGATCCTTAGATATCTAAGGAGATGTAGAAACGGCTTTGCAGTCTGGCAGTGTTTATCCTACAGCACCAAACCAGGATTTAGATGGAAAGAAAGAAAGAAAAAAAACAACAACAAAAGAACCCAGCTGGGGTAGGGGTGTTGCCTTTGTGGATGTGATTAAGTTAAAGATCTTGAGATGGAACAATAACCCTGGATTATTTGGATGAACTCTAAATAAAATCCCATGTATCCTTATAAAAGGGAGGCACACACACACACACAGAAAAGAAGGCAATGTGGTCGCAGGCGGAGACTGAATGATGTGGTCAGGACAAGGCATGCTGGCAGAGGCAAAGAA